ATATTCAATAAGTATTTGTTGTTTAGGAAAGCATATTTTAAAACATATATAAAAATATTGAATAATATTTTCGACAATGTTGATTTATTTATATTTATGTAATAATGTATTTTGAATATTTAGAATTTAATTTAATTTAATATTAGGCAAGCCATATAGCTCTCATCAAACTGAGAGTGCTGTATGTGTAAGTTTTTCGTGACGAGGCCATCGGCTCGTCTGCTCGAATCTCTAGAAGTCGGTTCGGTTGCCTCTCATTTCAACGAACGTAGTCAACGAAGTAAAGCAGAGAGCTTGATCTGATTCTCTTCTTCTGGCTGAGCCTCTCTATGTGAAATGGTAGCATATGATTGGCGCCTGACGGGAGTGTGTGGGTATGTGTGTGTTAGTGCGATACACTTACGATCATCGGAATTGAGACAGCGCTGGGTCAGTCAGTCTTGAGCAGGAGCTCGTGGAGTCAAGTCCAACATAGAAGGCCTAGTTTTAAAGCATTTGTCAATTAAGCAGACTCGAGCTCATTGATTTACAAATTATTTTTAATCAATTATAACAAGGTATAAGCATAAACCAGAGCAAGAATCTCCCAGATCTATATCCACAACAGACTGACCCACGCTCCACAGAACTAATTATTTTAGGCCGGCAAATATTTGTATTTTTGTTTAATGTATTAAAAAAGTTGGCCAAGTTCCGAGAATGGCTAAACATAATTAATTTGCATGCCCTAAACAAAATTTAGCTTCAATCAAGCGCTAATCGAAAATTTTGCTAAATACACTTTATAAATAATATTAACTAAATATTTTGAGTTGAGCTTTTTAAAGCATTTGCATTCTGCTTATTAAGTCTAATGGAATTCTCCATTATGAGCATTTAATCCATGAAGCTGTTTGCACAATGCATTAAAGATTTAGCCCGCTCAAAGAGCCGGGTGCAAAGACCTTATCGAAACCGAGCAAACCGCAGCCATTTAAACAATTAATGCAATCAAATCAAAGACAAAGCGCCATCATTTCAAGGTGGTTTTTGTGGGCGCGGACGTTATGTAAACAGAGCCGTAGGAGTAGGGGGCGGGGGCGTGTTGGGTCTAACCCTTTGCCTTGGCCAGCATAATGGAGAGCGGCGATGGTACAAATTTTAAGCACCAAAGTTTTTGCCGGGACCCGCAAAAGGAGTAAAAATAACACGAAACTTAATAAAGGTATGCAATGGCTAAAGTAAGCAACAAAAAACACAAGAAAATGGGGGAGGAAAAAAACCAAAATAAAAATAAAAATAAAAAGCCGACAAAAATAAAGGCGAATAGCGAAAGCAAAGTAGAAAGTAGCATATCAGATGTTTGTGTTGTTAATTAAAGAAAAACAAGCAAAAGTTTAATGGCGAATATTAGCAGGGGCTGCCCCGCCTGCCCGCTGGCCATGGCCGGCAAACCGAATGCCAGGCCAAACTTGCGGCCGTTGCGTAAATAGAAAAAAGCTCAAAATGCAACAACAACAACAGCTGGTAAGAAAAGAAAATGCTGCCGAAAAAGGGTGTAAAAATACACAAAAAAAAAAAAGCCTAAAAAAAAGAAGAAAAGAGAAAAATAGAAAAAAAAAAAACTTGCCTCATTTCGGGCACGCACGCAAGCCCAAAAGAAATAAAAATAAAAAGCGAAGAGCAGGGCAAGAWAATGAAAACTGCGCACAAATGTTTTGCTTGTAAACTTAAAGAATTTGGGGCATTTAGCGCTGCCCACTTTACAAAGGCCAAAGCGCCCGAAACTTTGGCCAACAAACTTCGGCGCCAGGTAACTATGTGGGCAGACTAACTGCGACTAGCTGGCTAATTTACCCGGCCAACGGCGACTGAGCGCTGGCCTCACAATTAAGCAGCAGTATGGCAGTGGGGCCATGGTCTATCTAGTCAGGCAGTAACAGAAATTTATCAGCAATTGAATTGATGGAGCTACGCCAAGCTGAGCCCTGGCCTCAGTCGCAGCCTCAGCCACAGCCTCAGCCGCAGCATCAATTATTAAGGCATAATAAAGTTGATGTGCGGAAAAACAATTTCAGGGCAAAGCCAAGGCAAAATGCTAACACACACACGCACACATACACACACGCAGGTGGAGCCCACATCAAAATAAACAACAACACGAAACGACAAATAATCTCGAGTCAGGTATTTGCTGATGTGCACACACACACACACACACACACACGCACACACACACAGAGGGAATTTATGGGCTGCGCCTTAAAGTAGGCAACAGAAATTTAACAAAAGCTGACAAAAAAGCTGACGACGGACGGATCACATAGAAATCAATACAAACGAAGCAGCGACTCGGCCGGGCCTGTTGCTCATTTTTACGAGATTTAGCCAAAAATAGCTTGGTGTAAGCGCTTTGGCTTGCTCGACACGCCCCAAATTCGGTTAAAGCCATAATTTACAGCATTGTTGACCCAAATTCTGTAGGGTATCAGCTGCGTGGCGCCTAACAAGTTCATTAGGCAGCTGCAGCTGTAGTTGGAGCTGTGGCCGTAGCAGTGGCTGTAGATGCAGCTGCTGCTTCTGCTACTGATTCTGCCTCTGCTTCTGCCTCTGCACTCGGCGTTCGGCAAGTGGCAAATGCCATAATTCAACTTATGTCTCAACGTTTTGGCCAAACAGTCGAAAGCCACAAGTACAAATGCTTGTCAGCTCCACACACACACACACAAATACACACACATTCATAGAGGCGCGCAGAACCACAGATGCGTTGGCCGCAAAATGTAATATATCTTCATACATACACACACACAGACTTAGGCACACACATATGCATACACACACACATACTTGTGTATGCTGCTTAGCATCACATGTGGCATACATTTTGGTGCACCGCAGCGCTTGTAATACATACTCTTGCTCTATCTTTCTCGCTCTCCCACTCACTTTATCTTCGCTGATGTGTGTGTGTGTGTGTTTGCATGTATTGACACCTACTAACAAAACGACAACACACAGCAGGAGTGCTGGGCTTGTCGCCACGCATTTGAAGGCGGCTCCAGTTAATGACTACAAATTAATTAAACCAAAAATGTTTCAGCCACTAAATTTTATTATGCACGTTTTTTGAGCAGTGTATTTTGGGATTGTTATTTGTGTGTGTGTGTGGTGTATAGTGTAAGCGGAAATCAGCTGGGCAGAAGAAGAGCAAAGGA